GAGTTTTTTCCATATTTTAACAAATTTTTACCTATGCCATAAATGATAATTTAATGCATAACGCATAAAAAATGATAAAATAGACTCTTCTATAGGAGTCTATCATACTTTTTGCTCTGTTTAATAATACAGCAATAATATCTATAAACTCAGGTTTTTGTATGAATGAAACCACTTGTTTCAGTTTCAAAAAAATCATTTAACAGTTTTTTAGCTTTCTGTTACTTATACTTCTAAATTATACATACGTCAATCTTTGGAAAGTTTATTATCTTGGCTTCACTAAACCTAACTATTAATTGAAGTGCTTTCTTGGTACTTACCTTACTAATTAAAATTTCTTTGTACATCATCATTTCTCATCTATTCTAATTAATTTAACATGTATAAAATGTACAAACCTTATATATTTGTGAATCTGGCTCGTTGTACTTGCAGGCGTTATCAAACATAAGAAGTATATCAGAGACCAATTCTTCAAGAGATTCATAACCATTATTCTTTAAAATAGACGCAATTCTCTCCATATGTATAGGCTGCTTAATGACTTCATAGTAATCAGGGTATTCCCTGACATTCGGCAACTTCATAAATACTGATGATAGTTGCCTACCTTTGGCATCCGTATAATCTTTGATTGTTTCATACATGGTACGCATTTTTTGTACATGCAAAGGCACCGGTTTTCTGGGTCTTCTGTAATTATATAGGTCAATAATATTGTATAATTTCAAAGCTAGATAGAGACAATTTTGTTAAATAAACAAACTAAAGCCGTCTACGGTAGTATTTCTTACCCAACGTTTCTCGTAGGTGTAGAACCTGTAGACTTTGGCTTTTGTTCTGGAAGAGGTCCTAACTCTTGTACCTTATCTAATAAAACCTTTTCCAAGGTTGTAGCATCATCATGAATCGACGATCCATCTTCATTGTATGTCCGACAATTCCGAAACATTAACTGTAAATAATTACTTTGATTGTAAAATTTTCTTTTCACTTGAAATAAGTATGAATTAACTGATATTGTACCTTAAAATCTTGAATAAGTTCATTTTCAGTACGATATTTTTCTGCTTTAATGTTGGCTTCAATCGTTAACATATCAATCGGTTCGGATATCACTTGATAATAGTCGGGATATGATTTTTTCGGAGGCTTTTCCATAAATTGCAAAATAGGTTGACGCCCATCATCAGTCTAGGTAAATATACAAATTTTAGTATAAATTGAAAATGAGACCTGATTTACTTTAATCGAGTTTTAAAAAATCACTTTACTCACGATATATTCTATTACACACTTAACAAGTTTGTGTAATCTTTTTTTCAATGGTATATTGTCTTTATATTTTCCACGCGTCAATATATTTGAAGCTCTTTTGATAAGCTTTGGATGCGCATCACTTTCATCTTCCGATTCGGATTCCTTCCATAAAACAGAAGTATAATTAGTAAAAATTTGTACTTCCTTCACTTGTATTTATTAAATACTTTATCAAGAATACCTGATCATAGTCCAATTCTGACACTTTTTCTTGCATGACTTTTTGCAGCTTTACTGCAAACTGAAATTAGAAATGTGAAATTATTATTTTTTTTCTTTAGTCTTATACGAGTCAATATTTTGTCTAGTTTACCTTGTACAATCGTGTAGTGTGTACATTATACTTTTTGGCATTTTCAAATACAAGATTCATGTCTGTAACAACTTCATGAACTGATCTATATTCTCCTCTCTTAAATGTCAAAAAATAAATTTGTTAAAATAAATTTGATATTTTTTAACAGAAAACTACAAAACAAATACCTTAATTTTTTTACGGATCTGTAGTAAAGATATAGGACGTTTGATCATTTTATAGTAATCAGCATACAACTGTCGAGAAGGAAGCGTCCAAAAAAATTCACTCATTCTTAAACCTAAGGCAGGTAAAAATCAGAAATTGTAGACCATAATTAACGACGTAAAAAAAAAAAAAAAAAAAAAAAAAAAAAAAAAAAGAAAAAAAAAAAAAAGCAATAACATAGAGTTGTAGGCACGTATTATTTGCAGCTGATAACTTGCATTGAACAATACATACACAACAAAAATTTGTGCTGGAAACAAAATGTATGCTGGCATATTTCAATGAACCACAATAAATAAGCTGTATGAAAAAAGCAAGTATAAAAATAAAAATGTTAAGCTGAGGACAATGATGGAATTGGAACGTGATCATAGGATCATTATTGGATATTAGCTTAAGTTACATGAATAAAAAAAATTTTGAAAAGCGTGAACTAAAAAAATAAAAAATTAACTGCATGGTCACGATGAGTTAGGGGCCTACCTTTTTGGATGATACGGGTGTTTGATGGTTGGTGAGCACCGGTTGAGCTTCCACAGAGCCAACTGATGGTGGAGCATCCAAGCTGTCCTCACCACCTACTCCTACTCCCAATCCCACTCCCACGCCTAGCTCATCAGACTCCGGGTACGGCGATGTATCCTAATACCATTTTATACATTTGCTTTTGGTATGCGAACTTTTTTTTCTGTAAGCTGTTACGCCCAAATACAAGAGAATAAGAGATAATGACTCTTTATCTCTCGGCGCCTAGCTCATTTCCACATTTTTTAAGTGGCTCGTACAATTTTTTAAGAACTTACTTTTTACAGTTATGTATTTACTTTTATTTTCAAAGACAAAAATTGTTTGAACTCGTCCTTAATAAGTCAAAAATTTATGTTTTCAAGGAAAAAACGAAAATAAGGTAAGGTATGATAGTAACTTTTTTTTAAGGTTAATTTTAGGGCCGAATTCATGTTTTAATGGTTATTACTGTGGCATGTTCATTGAAAACAATATACTTTGATACTTCAATAGAGTGAAATTATTCTCTATTTTTAGGGGGATTTTTTTATCAGGATTTGCTGGTAAATGTTAGCTACATTTTGAAGCATAAAAGTAAAATCGTATTATTTTCAACTGAATTTTCAACTTTCTGTTACGATAACTGGGGCGATATCAGGCTTACAGATACTATTACTTTCCTTAAAATTTTTTTCTATGTATATTGAAAAAAAACCCAACAGGTGCTCTTAAACTTGTTACTCGTTTTTGTCCTTACAAACAGTAAATGGGATGTATGACAACTTGGTATTGAAAAAAATAAATAAAAATAAGTTCAAGTTTTTTAACTGACAATGAAAAAAATAAAATAACAAAACGTGAATATGCCGGCATATAGTACGATTCATGCAAAATTGAAATTAATACAGCCGTACGTAAACGCGAGTTTTTGAATGAAACAATTTAACTTAAAAAATTCTTTAAGTACTCAGAAAAATACGACTCTATTAAAATCAACACCAACTGAATAAAAAGCATGCAATAGCAACGTGTTAGTCACATGTGATGATATAAAAGTAAATTGATTTTACAATTACCGTTTCATACTGGTTTGTTGACGATACAATGGATTTGACTGAATTTTGTATTTGCGTATCACTAGGCACCTATAACAAGCGTTTCATGCATTGAATTTGTATATACGCAAGCTTGAAAATAAAAATGAGAAAAAGGCATTTAAATGGTTTCATATTTACCTTGGCAGGATTAATAGGTTTTCTGAAAAAATATATTTCATCTTCTGTCACTTCGCTAGAATGATTAAACTTTTTAAGACCATCTGCACCGAGTTTTTTTATAACGTTCTTGTTTTCGTCGTACAAAGATTCACAAATGTAAACATCGTCTTCTGGAATTTCTGTAGGCCGACCTGAAAAATTTAAATTTAAATGATCGAACAATCTATTTAACAAGAGTTTTATATAAGCTCATGTGTAGCCAAACTAGTGAAATTTTGAACATACTGCAAATGTATTCTGAATAATCGAGAACAGCACATTTTCCAACAATAGCAACTATAGGATGTGTAGCTTCAACAGTAGATAAAAACATTTCTTGCTTATAAAATAATTTAGTAGGCGCATGCGTAATTTCGGCTGGAGTCAACATCCATGGTCCTTTGAAATAACACTTTCCACTAAAAGCAGTATTGAAAATAGAATGAAGTGGAAACGAATAATGACACCATGAGAATTGATACTCACTCTTTAGTTGACCAAATAGAATCAATCTGTGCGAGTTGCTGTTTACCACCACTAGTTGCTACAATAACAAAGTCTCCCAATTTTACAGGCCCTACGCATGAATTGTATTGTTCATAATGGGTATTTTCATTATCTGCAGTAAAAAGTATCACATTCTGCAAAGAAAAAAATTATTTTTAATAGCACGTACAAGGCTCGTAGATAAAATTTAAGAATATTCGCTACAAGCTTACTGGTTTTTCCTTCTCGGCTGGCTTCTCACTTTCTTCGAGCTCGGCTATCTCTTCCTTATGTTTCTCCAACCTCTCTTTATACACGGAAATGATTCTCTTGGGCTCGAGCAGCTTTTCTCTTGGTGTCAGCTTCAAATGATCAGGATCGAAGTTCCAGACTTTGATCTTTTTAAACGCACGCGCCCTTGTCGAATACCTCGATTCACACACATACACGTCTTTCTCGGGAAAGCCCTCAGGTACCATTCTGAAGTAATCCTTAACACTCAATACGCAACACCTACCCACCACCTTGGACAATGTGACAGCTACGTGGGCGTCGCTTTTAAACAGTTCCTTGTCTAGAAATTTTCGCGATGCTACGTGATACGTTTCGCTCGGGCGATAAAAGAGATTGCCGTAGAGCATCTGCTGACCCTCGGAGTTAGTCCATAATCGTTCGATCAGGACAACATTAGTTTCCATACCGCGCTCACTTGGTTCGACATACACGAAATCACCAGCTCTATAAGTTTCCTGGTTGAAACTCATGGAACTGCCGTTCTCACCACTACTAGCTGACCCGTCAACCATCTGCAACAGGATAAATAATTGTCAGAATTGTCGTATAATAGTACGACAATGAGGATAAAATGATTACTTTTTCATTGCCGTCACAACTCTCGTCTTCGTTCGACAAAAGTGCCTCTTGCTGCGATTTCTCTCTCTTTAATTCGGCAACCTGGTTACCCAGATCTACGAGAGAGTAGTTAAGGGCAGGCGAGTGCAACAGGTCACCATTTTTCGTCACTTCGTCTCTAGTGCGCAGAAAGAAGGCTTGCAGCTCAACGCTGTCTTCGAATACTTGCGAGTCCGTGCGAGACAATTTTCTTGCTCGCTCCAAACAATTGAACACGTCTTCTTGAAAACTATCGAGCCTTTTGTACACTTCCTTGTCCAGCCGACGCTTGATCAGGTCGAGCGACAGACCTCTAATTCTGTTGAATGAATCAATCGATTATTCTAAAATAATTTAGGCTGTTTGATTCATCAATGAATTTGACATTCGTTGAAAAAAAAAAACATGATAAAAAACTTTTTATTTTTCAAATCAACAGACAAGTTTCAAGTAAATTCTATCGTTTCAAGTTTAAGAATGAAACAACAAGCTAGTATGTAAACATATTTATAAATGATATCAACTGTGTTATCCAACTCTATGACCTTGAGACATTGAAATGTTTTTTTTTAAACTACAATCGTTGCACAAGCTTTGAAACACTATGTGCTTAAAAAGAATTTGAAGTATTCAAAGTAAATAATACTACTTCTGTTAAAGGTGAGAAAAAATATTCAAACCATAGTATGGATCAATTGTAAAACGTAAAAGCATATAGATTACATAGCTAAGGTCAAAAAGTGATTGGTTAACTCGTAAAGAATTAAACAACAAAAAAAGCCATCAAGTATTATCCAACAAATTTTTGTCTAAACATATACGGAGAAAAAAAAAATTACTTTTTCCCATCAACGATGTCATGTTCGGGCAGCTCAGACATGGAATCCGAGTAACAACGCCCTTCCTCATCTTGATGATTGTAAACTGCAGTAAATATAGTGGCCAGAATTTCCTGTACTGCAGCTGGAACATCGGGAACGCTCTCTTCGTTCTCGCTCAACTGCATCTTGGTCTGCATGACAAGCCTCTGCAGTATCATGGCATCCTGAAACACGGAATACAAAACACTTTTAATGACCAAGCTTGCATCCTATTTAGTGGCGCACATTATAACCACAACCATCACTCAATCTAATCTCATGAACGAAGTAATTGGAAAAAGGAGAGAGGGAATGAATGCTAAAAATGGCTGCAACGGAGTCTTTATGTTTAGAGCACACGAATAACATAATGTGCGGCAATTTGGAAACATGTGACTGAAAAGAGAGAAGAAAGAACAAAACAAAAAAAACTATGAAACTCTCGTGCCTCGCTTTTCTTGCACTTTTTCCTAATGCGCTGATCGATGTCACGGTCCCTGGTGATTCTGATCGAACAGGCCTTCAGCGGCTCCTTCTTCACCAGGACGACGTTTTGATTCAACTGGGAACCGGTTGTTGTAACTACGTTACCAGTGACCGTCGTCATCGTCGACACCATGTTGTTATTCCTAGCGCCTGCAGCAACGGCGTTTGTAAAAGTCGACGCCGCGATCACGTTGGGGATCGCAGTGGTCGTCAATATGCCCCCAGTGCGATTTCCCACGACAACGACATTCGAACGATTGCGATAAAGCTGCTGCTGATTAAATACACCCACGGCTGCACGGCTGTTACTGGTGCCAGGTATTGTCACGTTGTTGTTGTTACTGATACAGTAGACGACATTGTTGTTGTTGTTGCTAGAAACTGTGCTAGTGATCGTGGTGGTGTTGCCGCCACCGTCGTCACACACCATTTCGGTGTCCGTGCTCGCGAACATCATCGCAACGAAGAACGAGACTTGGCATCAACACTTTACGTGAAAGTGCGTTACCACACACACACAGAGACTCTCACGTCCTTACGAGATCGTGCCCTCGACGCAACTCCTTTCTTCTCGATTGTGTGTCCGTGACGAAGTATATGTCGTGGAGATATCTATTTTTTTTAATTTATACGTACAAACATCACCACCTTCCGCAACAAATGGGTGAGGTATATAATCGACTGGGGGCTATGTAGGTAGAAAGGTATGTGCTTCCACAAGTATCGGGACCTGCATGTGTACTTATACACCTCTCTCTGGATCTTTTGATTACTGAGTTTTTGACGAATCGAGCAAATGAAAGCACACTGAATGATATTAACACTTATTACAAACGAGAAGTGCAGCAACACTTATTAAGAAAAGTCAAGCCGTTTTTATAGCAACACAAGCTACAAGTCGTCATGTACAGGTCCAACGAACGAATGCACAATTGCACAATGCACACAAAACTACACGAAAACACGACCAAGTATCACACACCACTACTCGAACGTCTCGAACTCGATCAAGTTAGGTACCTATACTCTCGTGCGTGTGCGCATCGAGTGTAAAAGTACACGATCTCGATGAAAATGAAACGCGAATGAAGTAACTTTTATCGTACTTAAGTAGGTACGCACAACAAGAGGAGTCCACAGAAATTGAGAGTAAGTACTTTCAAGGCACCTTGACTTGAATACTTTCCGATTGCAGTAGCGTGCTACCGTGGAAAGTTTTTGTAACAGATACAGGTACGGAAAATTGTCACGGAGGAGTAGGTACCTATAACGTTTTTCAAAAGGCCTGCCCTTGCCCTATGCCCTGCAGGATCTTTATAGGGTTTGTCCAGAGAGCACACCTACACCAAACACCAACTGCTGGGTGGGAGAGAGAGAGCGGGTCGAGTGTTGAGATGCGTGACACAAGTGGTGGCCAATGGGATGGCTGCCTTAGCCGATTCCCCCCTTGTTGGTCAGAATGTAATTTTAGAGAATATCCCATATTCCCAATTCCCATGGGGCCACGGAAGAGAGGACAATATGGAGAGAAATCAAAGTTACACAAATTTTAGTTTTTCTCGGCAAGACACAACGTTTTTGCGTGTGAGTGTGTGCGCACACATTTTTCACTTTACGCGCTAATATTCGAATGAACTGTGTGTGTTGTGTTGATCATTAATTATTAACTTTTGATGTTTTCATCACAAACTTGCACGAACTTGTGAGTAAATACACAGACTTTGGAGAGCCAACATTTGTCACATTAGATGCCCAGTTGAAAGGGAGTTTCTGCTTTATAAACTACTTTATTTTGGCAAATTTCCATTATTTACCGTTTCAATGTGGAACAAACTGACATCTTAGGAAATTAATCGAGCCTAATTTACGGATAACCACATGAAAATCGAAAAAGAGATGAAAGTTTCACTGCAGATTAAAAAAAAAAACCACTTGTAACTACACAAATACCAAGATCGTAGAACAACTTATGATCTCGCTTTGAAACAAATATGTCTAATAGTCTGAAATTCACGATAGCTCCATGAAAATTAAAAATATGTTTTCATTTTCTATCATTTTCAGGACGAAACTTAAGCTTTTAGTTTGTATTATATGCATGTATCCTAATTTGTTTAAATTAATATACTATACACGTATAACTTAATCATTTTTGGTTGATTTCTGGGGCAAACTTACAAATAAAAAACGTATGTTTTTTCATAACAACTTCCAAATAAAAAACACATTTTTTTATAGCGAACTCCTATGAAATTGATTCATTTTTTAAATACAAAGTGATTTCATTGAGGCCTTGGTTAGTATATACATTTATATGTAATTTACTAATATAAATGCCTGTAGCATAAAATCTTGGCTAAAAATATGAGCAGAACAAAAGGAGAAATAAATTTTTTTTAATCTTGTGCTAGCTTTGGCGACATGAGCCACTAGGTACGAAAACTACCACTATAGAAAGTCATCTGCCAAAAAAAAAAATTATTTTATATTTTAACAAATTTTTACCTATGCCATAAATGATAATTTAATGCATAACGCATAAAAAATGATAAAATAGACTCTTCTATAGGAGTCTATCATACTTTTTGCTCTGTTTAATAATACAGCAATAATATCTATAAACTCAGGTTTTTGTATGAATGAAACCACTTGTTTCAGTTTCAAAAAAATCATTTAACAGTTTTTTAGCTTTCTGTTACTTATACTTCTAAATTATACATACGTCAATCTTTGGAAAGTTTATTATCTTGGCTTCACTAAACCTAACTATTAATTGAAGTGCTTTCTTGGTACTTACCTTACTAATTAAAATTTCTTTGTACATCATCATTTCTCATCTATTCTAATTAATTTAACATGTATAAAATGTACAAACCTTATATATTTGTGAATCTGGCTCGTTGTACTTGCAGGCGTTATCAAACATAAGAAGTATATCAGAGACCAATTCTTCAAGAGATTCATAACCATTATTCTTTAAAATAGACGCAATTCTCTCCATATGTATAGGCTGCTTAATGACTTCATAGTAATCAGGGTATTCCCTGACATTCGGCAACTTCATAAATACTGATGATAGTTGCCTACCTTTGGCATCCGTATAATCTTTGAT